TCCAACCTAAAGGATTCTATGATAACGCACGTTTCCAGCACCACCTGGTGGCTAATAAGTATATCCAAACAAACATACATAGGAAGTAATGCATATGGTTCACTATCCTCCTAGAAGTGGTGAAAAGCAAAAATGAGTCTAATATTCATGCCACTTTTTCTTCCTCTGTCTTTTTATTATGATGACCCCCCAAAAAAAGCCGGCATAGCCCAATCATGCTGCTAATCTACATAAGTAATTGTACAACCCCCAGTGCTTCAGTCAGGACTGTCTTTGTCTCCATTAGAGTAAAATCTCTTTAAAGGCCCACACTGAAAAACTGGCAAACAGATTAGGGTAATGGGTAATGACTATAGCCATGTGGATTTTTTACTCCTGTAGATAACTTCCATATAAGACTGCTTTGAAAAGTGTGAATGGCAGTGGAAATGACTCTGAGGAGCCACAGCAGTCAAAAGAGTGTTGACGCACATGAGATCTAGTGTTGTGTCCATCCAGGTCAAGACAGGGCACAGGAGTAGCTCCAGTGGTGTGGAAGATGAAATGCTGACTCTTTGTGCTCTGAAATGACAGCTAAAAATACTTGTTTAGAAATCTCATCCTGTAACTTGCTAATAGCAAAAAACTCAACAACAAAGCGGAAAAGAGAGACATGCCCCTATAGAAATGAAAAATCCCAAACCACAATGCACATTCACAACATATGAAGTTGGGGTGAAGTAATTTTAAGAAAGAGGCGCAAAACAATCCTTGTGGAGGAACACATTATTTAAGTCTTGTTTATAAAATCTACCTTTCATCCCTTCTTGAAAAAAATCACTTGTTTATTACATTTCACTGATAAATCATAGAAACACTAGTCTTTTGTAGATAAATACATGCCTTGTGTTCTGAAGATATTGAAAAAATATGGATACAATCAGCTGTTTTTCAGATAGTACCCCAGAGTTCAAGGAACGAGTATAGATACTTTTCTTGCTATATCAAACCAAAAATATTAGTCCTTGGATAGCACTTTAATCTTTCTTAGTTTTCCAAAAGCTAAACAGTTAATGACAAACATATCTGAGATAGGCTTAGATGGACTTACAGGTCCTTTTCCCTCTACATTTACTTAGTAAGAAGAGTCAATGATTTCCATTTCTTCAGCTATTAGTTACAGGGAGGCAATAACAGAAGCCAAAATAATACATAGGTCCAAAGCTACAAGCTGTACTAAAGTGCATTCATATCTTGTTTTTTTTCCACCCCCACCCCTGCATACTAGCTTTTCAGTTTCTTTAACTTCTTCCACTAAGGTTTTCTACTTGTTTACACATCATCTGTGATCTGAGATTTGCTGACAATGTCTCTTTCCTAGAGATGCTTCTTTAAAACATCAAGTCAAAAAAGACTTCTTTTTCTGTAGGACTTAAATACAGCATAAAGAAAATGTAGATTTATTTTGTATTGGTCCTTGAAAGTCAAGGTTTAAAGGATAAGCTTCATAAAAACATTTTTCTTATCTACAGAAAGCAAAAACCTCAACTACGCACAGGACTTCAAATTCTAATTTTCTTCTTTGCAGTTTGTATCTGTTCAAACTAGGATTAGCACCGCAGATCCAGGACCTACTGGGAAAAGTAGACTTCACAGGTAATAAACTGGTTATCTGATTATATGTTAGATGGTTTCTTCACCCTGTAAATCTGCTAACATTGTACATATTTTCCATTGTGGTCTTTCTCCTCCCACAAGGTTGTTCTGAGAACATCCTAATTAAATAGGGGGGAGGCTGCTATTTTTAATGAATGTCAGTCTCTGAAGGACAGAAGGGACTGAATTTGCATGGAATATTTGTCACATATTAGATTCCTTCAAAATTGGCAGCAAAAACTGCCAAGCAGCTCTGGCCATGAGTGCTTTAAAGAACATTGCACTTGAATTTCTAGGTATGATGATTCATAATTAAATTCTTATGCTTTTGTTCTGATTTTTTTTTTTTTTTTTGTGAACAGAGGAAGAAATCAGCAACATGCGAAAAGAGCTAGAGAAGTATGGTATACAGATGCCATCTTTCAGTAAAATTGGTGGGATTCTGGCCAGTGAATTATCAGTGGATGAAGCTGCATGTAAGTGTAGCTCCTGTTCCACTTTCTACTGGATAATTCAACAGAACACTAACAAAATATTTTTTGTTTTAATTTGCATAGTTTGCAACCTTGTGAGAAATAAGAAAAGCAAGCAAATTTTCACTCCCATCAGACCGCATTATTGTTACAAAACCTCTTGCAATTTCTCAGTCTGCATTTTTGATCATCTCCATTAATCATAGGAAGTGATAGCAGAAACAAAAATTTTCTTAAATCTTCTTAAGCTTCAAAAGCTTAAATCTTCTGTATAGGCTTAATGCTTTGATAGCCAGTGCTCTTCTAGAATGACTGAGCTCTGCACTGTAGGGAGACACAATGGGAACAAGGTGTCTTCGTTATGCCTTCTTCCTATGTTGGGTTCTTGCAGTTTTCCTCAAACACCCACTCAGGCTGCTGTGAGGACAAGGCATTGTTACAGATATCCACCACCATACATGAAAAAATTGTCTATGTGGAGGAACCACTTACCTCCATGGGCAGTTTTCAACCTGACTGCTGTCATGTCACCCACAGCATGGTAGAGCCCTGTAGAAGAGCACATCCTGCTGGCACATCTGAAATAAGCTTTTCCTTTTTAGGGGGTTTGGTGCACAGTTTTGGTCCTTTTGAGTCTGAAGGTGTTTCTTAGAACAGCTTCCACTCAAAAACAAATTAAAATGTGGTTTTGCTGCCCAGGCCTTTCCACCTCTAAATCTGTTTTTTCTCTATTTCCGTTTTTTTTTTATGGCATGAAGTGATTCTGTTTTTCTTAATTGCTTGAACTTAAATGACATGAATTGTGTGCACTTAAATCCACACTTGAGTTCTAGTGATTTTGTTTCTGAATCCTAGTCTTTTTTCAGCGAGGCAAACTGAAGAACAGAGGGGCTGGCTTGAGTATGTTCAGTGGAACAGTGAGTCATTGAAACAAATTGGTGACAGTAATGCAACCAGTACACGGGGAGGTGAGGGGAATAAAGGCTGCATTATAAATAGGTTTTGTTGCAACTTTACTAGACCTTGCATAGTAGCATAACTGAAACAAGCTGATTTATGATGATACTTAGTGTGCTGAAATTTCCAGACCTTAACTTGAAACACACCTCCTCGTGTTGATTTGTGTTGCGTTGTATATTTTTGAGCCTGCTATAGCATAATATGTGCATGTTTCTGCAAAGATAGCTCTTAAAATACTGCCTTTGGAAGTTGAGGTAGTTTATCTCCTTTTTTAGCAAGTTTTTAGTGGTTTAGTGACTACTAAGCGTTTTTCCAGGGAGCTTACTTCCTTCTCTGAAGACGAAAGGGTTGCAGCTTCATTCTCTGAAAGCTTATTGTAGTGTGTGTAGGGTTTCCTCCAGCTTCCAAAGTTTTTTCAGTTTCCCATGGAAAAGCAGGCCTTCCTGATGCAGATTCTGTCCCTTTGGGTAAAGACTGTGCTGTAGATAACATGCCCTGCCCCAGAACAGGAAACATCTGCTATGGGAACCCTTATGCACCAGTGAAGTTGGATGTGGAGATCCTGCTGGAGGAAAGGGTCTACCACCCTGCTTCCTAAAAGGAGCAAACAAAAGGACATATGAAGTGAAACAACTGCTGATGACTCCTGTGCTGTCAGCAATACTAGAAATCAGTATGCATGCAGTTGGAATTGCTTTCAGAACGAGCTGAAAGTAAGCCTCTTTACTATTGCATTCCTCAAGACTCACCAGGCTTCTCAGTGTTTCTCTTGGTAGATGGATTCACAACATCCTCCAGAGTTCGCATCTCCCCTAACCATGAGCCTACATTTTGGGTGCTTTTTGCTAGCTCCACTTACATGAGTGAGGCCTCTTGCACAACTGGAAGAGATTGTCCTTCATATGTTTTGTTGTCTGAGGGTGTGGGTGTGATAGGTATGCCTAAGAACAGCAGTCTTCTCTTAGCTCTTGAAGCAGACCTAGGTGTTTATAGACTCATAGAATATTTTAAGTTGGAAGGAATACATAAAGATCAAGTCCAACTCCCCTGCTCTTTAGAGGATGACCTAAAACAACTAAACTATATGACTAAGAGTGTTATCCAGATGCTTCTTGAATTCTGACAGGTTTGGTGCCCTGACTACTTCCCTGGGCCGTCTTTTCCAGTGACTGATCACACTTTGAAGAACCTTTTTCCTAATATCTAATCTGAACTTCTCCTGTTGATAATGTTCAGTGTCAAAGGAATGAGTGTCTCTCTCTGCTTGCTTCTTGTCCACCATGCTAGCTGCTTACGTTTTCCATCTGATGCCATGCTGTACTGAACTAGAGTGAAATCATTTTAGAACAACTTTCGAGCATGAAGTTAATGCTAAGCAATGGATTATCATAGAATAGAATCATTCAGGTTAGAAAAGACCTTCAAGATCATAAAATCCAACTTTCAACCCAGCACTGACAAGTCATCACTAAACCATCTTTCTGAGCACCACAGCTAACTGTCTTTTAAATACCTCCAGGGGTGGTGACTTCTTTTCCCTGGGCAGCCTGTTCCACCACTTAACAATCCTTTTAATGAAGAAATTCTTCCTAATGTCCAATCTAACCCTCCCCTCATACAACTTGAGGCTGGTTCCTCTTGTCCTATCACCTGATACCCAGGAGAAGAGACTGACACCCAGCATGCTACAACTTTCTTTGAGGTAGTTGTAAAGAGCAATAAGGCTTCCCCTGAGCCTCCTTCTCTCCAGGCTAAACAACCCCAGTTCCTTCAGCTGCTCCTCATAAGACTTGTGCTCTAGACCTTTTGCCATCTTTATTGCCCTTCTTTAGACATGCTCCAGCACCTCAATGTCTTTCTTGTAGAGAGGGGCCCAAAACTGAACACAGTATTTCAGGCATGGTCTTATGACTGCTGAATACAGAGGGATGATCAATTCCCTGGTCCTCCTGGCCATGCTGTTTCTAACACAAGCAAAGGATGTTGGTTGCCTTGGCTACCTGGGCACACTACCTGATATTCAGCTGGCTGTTGACCAGCACCCTCAGATCTTTTTTCACTGAGTAGCCTTCCAGCTGCTCTTCCCTAAGCATATAGCGTTGAATGAGGTTGTTGTGACTCAAGTGCAAGACCTGACACTTGGCCTTGTTGAACCTCATGCTGTTGGCCCTGGCCTGTCCAGATCCATGTGTAGAGCCTCCCTACCCTCAAGCAGATAAATACACCTGCTTAACTTGGTGTTTTCTGTGAAGTGACTGAGGGTGCTCTCAATCCCCTCATCTAGAACAGTGGTAGAGTCACTAAAAAGATTAGGGCCCACTACTGAGCCCTGTGGAACACCATTTTTGACCAGCTGCCAACTGGACGCAACTCCATTCACCACAACTCTTCAGGCTCGGCCATACAGCAATTTTTTTTTTTTTTTTTTTTTTTTTAACCAGTGAAGCTGACAGCTAGGCAAGCTGCTCCAGTAACTGCCTTCTCTGAGAATCTATAGCTCCACTTCATGCTTTGTTTGCCCATGTTGATTTTTCCAGTGGTCTACTCTTAGGTTCCACTTCCCTAATTTGTACACTCTTCTGTTTTTCTGAAAGCGCAAGTTTCCTAATTATTCACAGGCATCTTTCATTTTTCATTCCTCGAAAGAAACTGAAAGGCTTTAAACTCAGATATATAGACCCTCAGTTAAACTTATTTTTAAAAAGTGCTTTATGTTGAATGCTTTTCACTTGTTTAGCAAAACCATGCCAGGTTATGTAAGCAGGTAAATACTGATCAAATAAAGAAAGACAGCACTCAAGTTTTCTTTCACTTGTCTCATTGATAACATGAAAGTAAATCCTAGACAAGCTGCTGTGTACCTCCTTTGCGGTAAGATCTAGACAAATGTTTATCAGGAGTTACGTTTTATGTAGTCATGTCTGTAAAATCTTTGCGATTAGTGTGCCATCAGACAGTTGTTTGGATCTCTGTGGCATGCAGGTCCAGAAAAACTGTGGTTCTAGTGAAAGTCCTTCATCTAAACTGATCTTAGGGCCAAATGCATACAGGGGGAATATCTGGCAGTGCTGTTGGCCGTTACACTATATCTATTTCAGCTGGAAGTCATTTTGATGTCATACATTCGTGTAAACTTGATTTGTGGAAAAAGAACATTTCCAACTCTTAATGGAGTGAAGCACTTGCTCAGTAGATCAAGTTTTCTTGTTTTTTCAAAGGAAAGGTTTATCATTTAAACTGGCCAATGGCTGTATTGAATATTACAGCTTTTTTTCCCTCTTTTCCTGTGCAGTAAGATTTTGGGAACTCTGCAAAGCTCTCCAAGTGTTCTTTCCCTCTATTTGAAGCTTGCTGTCCTGTGGCTTTGCAGGTGATAGGAGTAGGGACTGTTACATCACTGTCTCTCTGGTTCTCTAGCTGCTCAGTGAGATCCTCAGTTTGTCCCAGGCAGGCTTAGATGTGGTATGCAGGGCTGCACCCTACCTCCTGCCTGGAGAGTCTTAACTACATTTTTTGGAGGACAAGTTTCATGGAGTTGGAATTTCCTTATTCTTGTGTAGCATCATTCAGATATATAGTTAGTTTAGACACTACTTTCATATCCCTTCTATCCGTATCATCATGAAAGGAGCTTTAAGAGGAAAAACTGGCAAAAACATTTTCAATTCCTGCATAGTTGCCTTCTAAATGACATAGCACTTAAGCAACAAAATGCAACTCATGTTTTTTTGTCAGTAAACTAGTAACCCTTAGTTTGGATAACAGTGAACATGGTACAGATGTGCCACCTTTGAGGAGACATAGTGCTTTTCTTGCTGCGGTCTAGAGGATACCTTAGGAGTGGGATGTTTGAAGGAGAATATATAAACTATTGAACACATGTGAACTATTGAACTCATTTCAAATCAAAGAAACAGTGACAGTTTTCAAAGTTTTTGTTTCCTGAAACTTAGCATTGTGATTTCGATTTTAGTGCATGCAGCAGTAATAGCAATTAACGAAGCTATTGAGAAGGGAATAGCTGAGCAAACTATCACAACGCTGATGAACCCAAACGCAATGTTGCTAAACGTGGATGAGGAACTTGCACAAGACTATCAGAATGAACTCTTTGAAGCTAAAAGGAGAAAAGAATCAAATTCAAGACTTAAGGTAGTAGTACTTTACCATTCCTAGTATACATGTTCCTTCATGTTGCCTCTCATGCTCTAGTACTACCAACTAAAAAACGAACTTAAAATACTTTTTAAAACTAGCACAGTTCAGGAAAAATCTCACTTTCAGGCTAAAGCAGATACATAATGGTGATGCCAACAAGCTGACAGCAAATTTTATTAGAATATGATGACTATGAATAGGATGTAGCTTAATTTTGGCCAAAGGATAAAATACCATAAAACTGGAAAAAGATTGGTTTCCCTCTGTCCACGGCTTTCTGTTTTAAAAGTTGCAAAATAATGATGCATATTTTTGAGCATAAAACATAACCTCTGCCACAGACCTTTAATGTGAAATTATTTGCTTTGTTTCTTATAGGAGGACTAATGCTTTCTGTAGTTTAAAAGCGTTATTTTTTGTGGTTATTTTACAGGAATCAGAAAATGCTTGAAATATTGCTTATTACCATGAAGTGCTAATTTCTTTAGTTCACATGATCAACAAATTCCTTCACAAATACATCCAGCAGATATTCCAGCTGACACAGTTTTAATGACTCTCACTAATAGCTTTTCTCTCTGCAAAGTTTTTGTGTTACTAGCAACAACTTTGTTTTCTTAGAACGGCACTATCTCTGAGGAAGAGAGAGACGTCTATGAAGAGCTGCTGACACAAGATGAGATTCAAGGCAATATCAATAAGATAAACAGTAAGCCATTCTGGATCCTTACAGAAGCGTGCACTTAACACATGATCTCCCAGATTTCAGCTGAACATGACCTGATTCCCCATGAACAAACAAACAAAATATTTCTGTGGAAACTTATATGTGGAAGTAGCTAATATTTGTCCATAAGAGTTTTTTCTTGCTGCTCCTTCACTACTAATCCTTTGGGGTGCTAATGTCTGTGTTTGTGGTTTTTGCTGTAAGGATTCTTCAGTTGAAAATCAAGTCATTTATTGCCTGCTTTTTTTCCTTTACTCTTGAGTTCCTTTTGCGTGCACAATACTGTAAATTTTGACCCCCTCTGCTATATAGAGCCAAAATTCACTAATAAGGTTCCCCTTAGCTGAGGTTGAACTGCTCCCACATGGCCATGCACAGAAGCAGAGACTCTGTAGGATTGCTCTCAAAATAGGTAATACTCTGCTAGATGAAGATTGCCACCCTAGCTGGCTTTTACAACCAGTGAGATGCTGGCAGCCATGGACCTTTTTTTTCCACCACAAAAGTGTATTTGCTGTTTATAAGCACTGTTTTCATTTCAGTTCATGTAGGTTTAGACCATGTGAATGAGGCTATTGACTGGCAAGATGAAGTGGCACTGATGGCAGGTTTGAACCATCCTGCTCTGAGCCTACTTGAAGTTCTGCCACAAAATTCCACATGGTACCTATTGCAATTATGTGACTCTAAAGAACAGGGAATGCAGGTAACTGAATGGAACAAGTACTATGCATCAGACTGTATTTTTTTAGCTGATATTAATCCAGAGAGAAATTGCTTTTAGTTTGCCTTCAGCGTAACTTGTGAAACAGTTTTATAAAGGCTTTAGAATAGTTGACTTAATATCAACACCAAAATGCATTTGGTAAAAAGAGCATGATGTTCTTATAAGTAGTTACTACGATATAAGAAGAAAATTTGAAATATAGCATGCAGCCCCTGGTACTGTTTGCTTTGAAAATGAGTTGTAACTTGAGTACAACAAACTAATCCTTAACAGCAAACGCAAGAGCCAGTTGAGCTTTAAGGGGGAAAAAAAAAAAGCCATAATTTTCAGTACGATGAAAATCACAAGGAAAGATTAATGCTATGTTTACTGTGACATTGTATTTGATGCACAAAGGAAATTACAACAAAATCCTAGTGGCCTGTCAAGGGGTTTTATCCCTTATCTCCCATTAAAAGCATAATTAAATCTTTTTTTCTGATCTGTTAGAAAGCAGGGGTTCCATATATGTTGGACAAAAGTGAAATACAGAAAGAAGTTAGTGTTGCCAATGAGGAAGCTGAGGCTCACAGGCTTAGTGAGTAACTTTTAATACTCATTTTTTACCCTCGATGTTTAGTTATGTTAAATTGATTAATTGAATCCACCATTTCTTGCATGTAAAAAAGGTTTCTCCAACTGAAACCATATGCATTGCATTTTGTATTTTGTAACTGTTCTCAGTGTCACAGTTGCCAAGTCACCCACCTATGCTGCATTGGATATACTCTTATCTGAGGTACCTAATCCATCTTTCTTCGAATAATAACCCACTGGTAAAGACATTAGCTAGAATCAAAGACAATGCATGGCTTGATGGCTTGAACAGATACATATCAGTGCAGAATTAATATTCACGTGGGAGCAATGATCGAGTGATCCTTGTAGAATAGAATGACCACAAAAAAGATTATTTAGCAGTTGTATCATGGAGGAAAAAGTTTTTTTGAAACACGTACCTACTTCTAACCTGTTCTCACCCTGCTAAGAATGTCACAAGACACAGGTTACAGTTAGTAAAAATTATAGTTAAGGGGGATCTAAATTTGCAGTGCATGTATTGCTGCTTTTGACTGGAAACTTATTTGCTAGGAAGTTCAGCCTTGGTTAAACTGCTGTCATTTCACGCTACAACTGGGCATGGCTTAGTGGCTGTTTCGTCTCTGGTATTGCAATGCTTTAAATCCAGGCTGATTGCTTTTGTAATGTCACTTAAAGGCTCTACAGTCAGGTCAGCTTAAGCCAGGCCACAAATTTGATCTGCTACCTCAAATGTTAGCTTATTTTAGACTGGTTAGACATGGTAAGCAGTACTTATCTGAAAGAGTTGCTCCTTGGGAATGGAAATGAAGAAAAATGTGCTATATGAAAAGCAATAACACCAATTTGAACAGCAATCTTATTTCTTAGGTTTCATTTGAAAAGGAAAAGTAGTGTTTTTTCATATTGGAATGTGAACAATGTAAAGTGTGTTTTGCAAATTGCATGCTCAGTTCCTGAAGAAGAAATCAGTAGCTTGGTTATTGACTGCAGACCTAGCACACTTGTGGGCTCTGATTCTTTTCCTCCTTGCTCTTTTCTCTAAAGAAGCATGCACAGCATGCACACCACAGCTTTGAGAGCTTTTCCTTTTTCTAACCTCAGGAGTAGCCTATAGAGAAAGCCTTCAAGAATAACATGGCCCCCTATGGCCATGGTTCAGAGCAGTTGAAACAAGAGTCAAGGTGCTTGCTTAGGTGGGCCTGGTTACTCAGTCTGTGTTGTACAGTAAGATCTGAGTGCTTCTGCATATGTGAACTGTGGATGGTTTCTGCAGTACAAGCAGTCTTGCACAGACTTGAACAGTCAGTCATGACAAAAAACATTGCGTGGATAATAGTATACAGAAAAACCATATGATAAGGTGGAGGACATAGGAGTTATTTTGCTGATGGAAATGACATTTGCATAATTGTCACTCTACTCTGACACATGCACTCTAACCATCAAGGTTTTTTCCCTTTGTGCAAGACCAGAACAATCCCTTGTACAACGTGTTCCTGGGTGTGTCCTGCTTGGGTTTCTTCAGAGGTGGTTCCTCCAGATGTGCAATGACAGTGGCTCTGACTAAACCAAGGGGTGTTGTAAGGTTGTTGCAGATGCCCAAGTGCAAAGTGTGTTTCAGCATTTTTCTGTCAGGATTCAAACCTGAAGTCAGTTCAGTGAAAAGCAAAGCAGGCAAGTTGTTCAGATACTGAAAAAGGTTGAACTCGTACTCCTCTGTTTAATTTTAAATTTGACCTGTAGAGAAAGGGATAACTTCTAGATGGTAGTGCTTCTGAAGACTGATCTACACTGTTAGACAAGTAAACAGATGATGGCACATGGAGGAAGTTCTAGAAGCTGTAGCATATGGTTTTCTGTATCAGTTTAGCTACTGAAATTCCTAACCCCCAACAAATTTGATTGACGTCTACCAGGCCTCCTGAAATGGACAATAAAAACAGCATTGGCATTGGTGCTGCAAGGCAGGCTTGCTGTAGCTAGCTGTATTAGGTCCTTAGGTCATGTCAACAGGAAGAGGTGAGTGAGGAAATGGGGCACAGAAGAAAAGTGCTTGGAGTGAAGAGAGACCAAGGTGCTGGAGGTGACATACCTAGCAATACCTTCCACAAGCAAACCCAGGAGGAATGTAAAGTCTTCGTCCATGGTAGGATGGGGTCAGTCCTTGTTTTGTGTTAAAGGTACAAAAAGAAGTTTCTGATATCTAGAAGTCCAGAAACATTGAAGTCCTCCAGTCAATTATTTGAATACACTTTTTGCAACATTCAGCAGTTGTATCTTGAAGAATCTCACAGAAACATTTTTTTTCCTCTAATGACAGAAAATTATGTTATTTGGAATAACCTAATTGTCATCTACATAGCATAAAGAGAAAATGGCATATGACATTTAAAAGGCTTTTCTTTCCCTGCTGTTCTCTAGAACTTATAGCAGTTGACAATATCAATACTGCAATTTGTAACTGTGATCCTAGTAAAACAGTCGTTGCACTGATGAAACCGGAGGCACAGCTGCCTGTTGTTCACTCATTTGCTGCTGCTCTTTATCAGACTGAGCTGTTCAACCTCCAACAACAGAATGCTGTGGTAAGAGTGAAAAGCTTACAACCTGCTCACTAATATTATGTAGTCAGCCCATGAAAGAGCACAAATATAGCATGTTGTTGTGTAATATCAGACTTAATTCTCTTGCCATGGTGTTACATAGTGCATGAATGGTTTTGGTTGAATAGTCAATACTGTACCACAAAATTTGTTTCTTGACATACTTTGCTCTGGCTGAGCTCTTGTGTTGCAACAAATCGACTGATGTTTTTTAATTGTTGCATGCTCTTAATGAGGACTAACTCTGTTTTATATATTGTGTAGAAAAGTAATCCCCTGCTATGAATGTAATACCAGAATAGATGGGACTCTGGGGCACAAGAAGGAAAGGCTGAAGAGATGTGTAGAGAATCCAGTAAGCTCTGCTACCAGTGTTGTTAATTTGACATGACAGTGACTAGGAAATTTGCCAGGCTTTTAAAATCAAGTCCATCTTCTTGATGGTATCTAGATGGTGTAACAACTTCATTAAGCTGCTGATTTAGCTTCCTGACTGTGGTACATTATTGCTCTACAGAACTACCTGGCACATGATGAACTGTCTATTGCAGTAGAAATGTTGTCAGCTGTTGTGTTGCTAAACCAGGCCTTGGAAAATAAGGACATCCTAAAGATAAAGAATCACCTCAGAAACCCATGCATTTGCTTCAATAATCTGGAAGAGGAAAACTTTGAACGGTAAAGGTTCATTTTGTCTTGTCTGGATAAGACTTGGCAACTTCTGTAAAAGGTTAAGTAGGCATTTTGCTAGGTGGGCTGTCCTGTGTTGTAGCTATGAAGTTGAAAGAGCTGCAAGATAGACATCTATGTTATAAGTTAATAATGGATTGTGACAATTGCTGAACTAGTCATGTCCACAAGTATAAACTATCACACAACCTCATATGTTTGAGGGCAGAGGATGTTAGGTGCAGGGAAAATGTCCTCAGAGAGCAAACATAATGATCTGACAAGAACTTTTGCAGACGCAAATGTGATCTAGCTGTAGCTGGATACAGTTAATCAGTAACCTCCCTGCCATACTGAAAGAAGATCTTTGGAACGAGATAATCTTTAATGCCTTAAAGTACAGGAGGCCCCTTAAAACACAGCTGACCCTTTTTTGCTTGAGAATTGCCAAGGTCAAAAAAAAAAAATAGAACAGTCTTGCTTGCTAAAAGCTGAGTACGATGCTGTGGTATATGTGCATGTTCAGCATTAAATTATTTCCTTCACTCAGCTGCCAGCTGCTTGCACTGCCACATACCTAACATGTCACAGCCATGGGCTGCTACATCTGTGCTCTTCTCTGTGTCTGCAAAAAATACCGGGCAACACCATGAATTGAGACCTGAGCCCCCAGTATGCAAATGGGAGTGTGGGGACATGAGCACCGGCCCATAGTCATCAGTGGTGGAAACCTCCATGTGCTCCTGAAAGACATTACTAGGCAAAAGTGACAGCAGTGGTTGAAGATCTTCACCAGGCTGATACATCTGCACATATGAATCTGGGTGCAGCCCTTGCTAGATGTCTCAAAGCTGTAAGGAAGGCGGTCAGGGTAGTAATCGGAGGCCAAAGTTTTGATTAGACGAAGTAAAATGCCATAAGATGGATCAAAATTAATCTCCCACTTGGCCTTTGCCAATATTAGGTGGTGCTTATGGGCAAGAGAAGCTATATTATAACTGCGCAGAAATGGGCCCAAACATCTTCAAGTGCAGCATTTTTGGCTAGTCTTACTGTGACCTAATCTTTAGATTACGCTGCCAGTCAATACAAATGAAACACTAGGAACTAGTTGGAGCAGAGAATAAAATAAAATTTTATAAAGCCCTATGTAAATCTGTGTTCCCAGCTATATGTTGAATATTGTAGGAGCTTTGATTGCACAATACCAGAAGGACTACAGTAGAGCTAGGAAGAGTTCAGAGAAGGATACAGCGTTGAATCGCTTTCTACCAGAAGAGATTAACTTGTTAGAGATGTGTATCCTCGAAGAGATAATTTAGGGGAAAGTATGAAAGAGGTCTGCAAAAGTATGTATGGTTTGGGGAAAGTTAATAAAAGTTGCTAGCTTCTCTTACAGCTTTAGTTTTTATTGTATGATGAGAGCTAGGGTGAGAAAAGATTGGACACTATCGAATATCAAGTTTAAAAATTACATAAGGAGATGCCATCTCCCAAAACGCTTTAATAGCAGGACTCATTCCTGAAGAATATATGATTTCAAATTAGACTAGCTAATTTAATGGATCACAGCATTGTTTGCAACTATTTGAAGTGCTATGTAGCCTCTAGTTCAGGAAACCCTTAAATGCAAGCTGCTGAGTGCTGGAAGGGCATATCTGAGCAGGAAATTATTCTCTCCTGTATGGTTTCTGGCAGCCATTCATTTCTCAGGCTTCTGCCATAAATAGGAACAGGTATTTGATCTGGCATATTGTTGCAGTTGTATGGTTGATTCAGGAATACAAACATTAATTAGCCTACCTATACATGTGTTTACACTGCTGCAAAGGTTTCCAGATCATCTTGATCTGTGATCCCTCTAGTAAGAGCAGATGCAGGCTACAGAACCTGTGCTTGGAGAACCTCGAGTTGTGAGGAGAGGGACACTATCTTTTTTCATTCCTTCCTTCTGCCCATGACCCATCATCCTCCACATCGACAGAGCATGAAGGTAGCAGGAGGTGCTGCTAGGGCAGAAGTTCTTACCTTTGACTTAGTGTAGCAAGAAGCTGACTATAGTTTCTCCCAAATTTGTCTGTAGCACCATACAGCAAAGGCTATGTATGTTATAGAATCATAGAATCATAGGGGTTGGAAGGGACCTCGAAAGATCATCTAGTGCAACCCCCCTGCCAGAGCAGGGTCACCTAGAGAACACATGTTGTATGTATTACCATCATCCCACATTGCTATGAAAAGTGCTCTAAATTAGTGTACAGGATTTTTTAAGATCCTGAAATGCATGTGTAAAACCAGCCAGGCAGCTTGCATGTCTATACAATTTCTGGCAAAAGATGTTTGAAATTGATTAATTGAAAAAATAATACTAGGCTTTAGATGATGAATGATACATCTAATTCTTTATGGTAGTTTATCCTGTATATGAAATACGCCTGTGTATTTTATATCTTCCTATAGCTATGCTGATACAATATTGTCTATTAAGTCAGAGGCTTCATCTCAAGGCCAAGATTATTTAAGCTGGAATGATATCCAGAACTGCATTGACATGGTTAATATGCAAATTCAAGAAGAAAATGAAAGTAAGTAATTCGTCCTCTACATCCCACACTGAGATGATAGTCTGGTCCTTGGTACATATATTTTGTGCTGAATGGCCTTGTGTAGATGCCCTTCAGAAGGGAAGGGCATTAAATAGTTTTGCATGCCCGTTGATCTTTAAATGTTCTAGAAGTATTCCCATATGTTTTGGCTGGCTGAAAAGTATCGTAGGCTGCCTGCCTTCTGCAGAAATGCCAGAGTTCTGCCCATTTGTTGGTATCTTTCAATATTTGCACTGGATGGTCTCACTTTGGGGATTTTGCAGAAACTAAGCAAATACCATATTGAGGAACAAGGGAAGAAATTACAGGCAATGTACTGTGGAAAAGACTGTCTTAATGTTAAATGATTTCCAAGCCTTCACATTTCACAACGGAGTTAGTAAGAAATTATGCAGTGCAATTATCTGTGCTGCTCTCCTTTTAGGTAACTTGATTTCCTATCTGAGAGTAGTTTCTTATGCCCACTTTTTCTAATGAAGCTGAAGATAACTAATTTTCCCTGAAAGTATGGTGTTATAGTGAATGTCCTAGCTGGTCAATTAGGTTTCAAAAATTATAAAGGACCATCTTTCTCCACTGAATATGGAATTATGATTTTTTTTTTTTATTAAGATTTGAGGCTATCAAGTTATGGCTGATTTGCTGGAGCGAGGGAAGGAGAGGGCAGATTTCATGCTGCTTGCCTTCTGGGAATCAGCCTGGATTATAATCTTAGAGCTTTTGTGAGGCACAGGCTGTTTTGAGGGTGGCACTAATGCATGGTGCACATGCCCTTCCTACACCACTGTCAGTATCACTCGTGCTAGAGCTTCATACTGGTAACAGAAGAAATATTGAAACTGACTGTATGGTTGCTTCTTAATTCTAGTCATGTGTTTTCTGTGGACCCTCAAAGCCTGTTGGCAACCTGTGCCCTCTGGCAGGTTAGGTTGCCGAGCAGTTCTCTTGACTGGCATAATCGCTCTTATGTCTAAATCTGTGCAGTCACCAGCAGTTGGAACACGCCTTCAGAAAGGCAGTTTTACATTAGGAGAGTCAGTCTTTAGTACTAAAATAGCTGCACATAGTTTCAGAGCGACTGGCCTCTGCCCAGGGTTTTGGGGCAGAGAGGGAAGGAAGAAGTATGGTCTGTTTCCCTAAGCAATGTCTTCATGGTCCCTCTTTGGCATTCCAGAAAAATTACTCATTCCCAAAACCTTATGAGGGCATGGATCGGTGACCCCATCAGCTGGGTTATGGTGGGTCTGGGAGAGAGCTGGTGAGAGATGGTCTGCTCCTGGCATAGGTGCTATGCCTCACAGGTGATGGGGAAAACCTTGGCTGGCACTCTGCTGGAGCGGCCTTGGGAAAACACTCAGTACTCTGTGCAGTGCATTTCAGCACTGTCTGGGGGTAAAAGGAAATAAATTTTTAAATGTTGAGACCAGTTTGGAGAACATGATTTAGAGCTTTTATTAAACACACCGCACCATGTTACTTGCTGACTGAAGTCCTGAGTGCCACCAATTTTGAACAATCAAGCGACTTCTCGTAAGATCAGCATAACCAGATTGGTTATTTAAGGCAAAATTCAAAGAAATTAGGTCAAGTTGCTATGAAATGCTGCAGCTGGGAAATCAGTAGGTATAGTTCTGCAGGTCAGGGTTTCAAGTAATCTAGTCTGAAGTCACACAAAAATAAGTCTTACAGCACTGGAGCCAATATGTAGGTGAACATATTTAGATGTAATGCCCAACCTTTCCTTAAGCATCACATAGACACTCTTGCCCTGAAAGTAGCGAAGTCCGTTCTCCTTCTTTTGGTAAGGTTAAATTTGGTTTTCATGAAGAGGTAGATTCAGATGAATAAATAACTGGTAGAAAAGAAACCTGTACAACTTAACAGCATCACATGAATATCTGAGCAAAAATAATTTTAAATCAGCTGCCGTTGCTGCTTCTGCTTCTTGTTACTTGATTTTTCTCTTCTCTGTGTCACTGCTTTGTTTGTACCTGGTATTGGATAAATTGTATCTTTCTTTGATGACTACATCTTTAGTAACTTTTCCATTTCATAGGAATTATTGCAATTGGCCACATTAATGAAGCAATTGACCGAGGATATCCTGAGAAAACTCTAGAAGCCCTACTGTTGCCCACAGCCAAGCTGCAAGACGTGAGACCAATAAATGCAAGGCATTATCAAGATATTCTGCACTGCGCCAAAGCACAGAAGTGCAAGGTTAGAGCTTTGACTGTTGTTTCCCAGAACTGAAATGTCAATTCTTTTCAATTACTTGTGTCCCTGTCCTGTTCCCCAATGTCTGGAACAGCCGTGCCAGTGAGGCTGTAAGTAAGCCAAAGACAACAAACTGCCACTAAGTAATTTTCCGCTACAGTTTATTCTGACTAGCAAAAGGGATTCATTCTCAATGTATTAATACTAAGGCATATTTTGCATATGTGTAACTACTGGCTTGATGTAACATTGCTTATTTTTAATTTTATTATGTTGCTACAGCTGTTACAAAACATGGGCAGCAGTGGCCCTGTCATAATTAGGAATTTGTGCAAGGATCTAGTTACTAGACTGTCAGGTGGGTAGTTACAGTATGGCCGGGAATTGAGGATTTTGCCAGAAAGGAGTCATAGTCATGCTGAAGGAGTCATGGTGTTGCTTCACAAACCCCTGGGATGTACTTTGAGGAGTCTCAGGTGCTTAAATCTGGTGTTTTATAATAGTGGAGTTTGGCACATGTTTCTGTTCTGGATTTATCTTGCAGTAACAAACTAGCCATTTTTTGTGTGCTTTCAATTTAAACCTACCTCAGCAAGATATTGGTATCTGCTTCTCCCAAAGCAGTGCCCTGGTTAGCATCACAGCTCAGGGAAGCATAAACAAAGATCACCCTAACAGCTTGCAGGATGTGACTAAACACAGGATTAGTTAAAGCTGCTAGAACAGCACTTAAAATGTGTTTAAAAATGATGCTTAAAATTGTCAGCTGAAGAAAGTCCCTGAACTTTGGCTTGTAGAAATAACCTTCCAGTTGTATTTCCACCTCACCTGTGGTCCTGGCTATGAAACACTGTCAGAGCTTTCTAAAGGCATTTGCACATCTCAGTCTCTTGCTTGGATTCCCAGGTAAGGGCTGGTTTCACTGAGCCCTGGATACTGAAAAGCTTCCCTTGCCATGTGTGCTGGGAAGGGTTTAGTACATGCTGACTACTTTACACGTTCTGGAAGGGCCAGGGTTGGTATTCGTGTGCAGTGTGGTTCTGCAGTGCTGGCCTGGGACATGACAGACTCTTTATGCATGTGTAGTGAGCCAGGATGCCTCCAGGGAGGAGACCTACATCCCACAGGCACCCACGGACCGGCACACAGCAACCATGGTAAAAAGAAGACTAGGGAAGGT